GAGTCAGGGTTGGGCTTGAGCTTGGTTTCTTGTTCTGTTTGCGTCTGTGTTTTGATATATATTAAAACACGATTTTAGGGTTTTGGATTGATCAGAATTTGTTCTGAATTGAGAGGGATAAGAGCTGATTTTGAGCTTTCTTGTGAGAGCAATTGGTGAGAGTTGAGAGCTTTGTTTGAGAGATTAATTTGAGGGTTTGTGAGTGATTTATAATCTCTATTTTGCGTTCTATCTCTCTAATAGTGAAAACCCCTCCCCTTCTTGCTCCGTGGACGTAGGAAACTTGTCGAACTACGTAAATCTCCTGTTTTGAGTTTATACTGTTATTTTTTATTTGATTCTGTGCGTGCCTTCTCTCTCGGCAACTTTTTGGATTCCACTGCGCCACCACACTACAATCTTCTCTATTAACAAGTATCTTCTTAATTAAATGGTTTAATATTCAATATATATTCATGAATATTTAAAATTTGAGAGTGTGAGCGGGGGATATGCTTCGTACCAATCACAAACTCGGTGCTTTGTAGTAAGGTGACTCATTCTCATCGACTCATTTAAACGGTCACCACTTAAAAATTGTCATTCCTTTATTGTCCTACTCATATTAATGTGGTTCCCCTTTTAGGTGATGAGAATAAGCCACACCACTATCTATATATATATATATATATATATATATATATAATATAGAGAGAGAGAGAGAGAGAGAGAGAAAGCGGGAGGTGAGCTGGCAGCGTAGGAAATTTCCTACGCTGCAAGTGTATGACATGTGAGCCCCACACCGATATGACTAGTAGGGGGGCTCACATGTCATACACTTGCAACGTAGGAAATTTCCTACGCTGCCAGCTCACCTCCCGTTTTCTCATTATATATATATATATATATATATATATATATATATATATATATATATATATATATATATATATATATATATATATATAATCAATCGAATTAGTTTGCCACGACTTATCTGTAAGTAGTTTTCTCTGCAATGAGAAGAAAGGAGGCATCTCGACTTAATACAATTCACTGGGTACGAGATCCGTTAGTAAGACCCGGATTTCTTTGGTTTGTGCGTTGCAGCTCAGAACTCTTCCTGTTTTGTCCCCGGAAACGACTGCTTTCAGGAATCTCCGTAAAAATGTATTTACTAAGTTCAATTCCTTGTATTTTAATTTTTTTACTTATATATCACGTATCTAACATAACCTTACTCATGTTTCATTAATACAAGAAAATTTTTTATCGCGTTTAAAACTTCAGGTTGCTTTCTACAAAATAAATGATTCCACTATCTTGATCAGTATCCAAACTGTTGGTAAAGTGCAAAGATTTCCCTTCTGCTTGACTAACAATTGGTGTAGCAAATTTTCACCAGTATGACCTATTAATAGCCCAAAATATCCATCAGCAATGAAAAAAAATCT